AACTTGGTTCACGCTGTGTCGACTAGAGAGGTGTTAGTTCCTGATCCTGGAATTTATCTGATTTGTGTACGTCTACAAGATAATGGCCTTCCATCGCTTAGCAGTGAGGCTTCATTTTGGCTGCGCATTGCTCAGCCGGCCAGCAAGGAGGATCTGTTGCATGATTCGGCCGAAGGTGGCAGCTCATCTGACTTTAGCCAACCTTTCATCCATCTCCCCAATGGGCGCAGTTCCCATTTACCAGAAGCTCGATTTGGCTCCAGTGAAGGCCTTGATGCTAGCCTGACAGGTGTAACGGGCAGTGACAATAGCAACGCCACTCTTCGATCAGGGAAACGGGGAATGAGTGCGGTATTTAATTCCAATACTCGTCTGGATGATAGTTCCCTTATAACTAGTAAAATTACAGGACTGAGCATGGCCCGCTTCTCTTTAGGTGATACACTATCGAGTGCGATAGTCTTAGTTCTGGTAATCGTGTTCTGCGTGGCCTTAGCTTGCGCCCTGGTGGCTGGAGGGCTTTGGATACGCTCTCGACGACTAGCAGTCTATAGACTACGAAGACACCAGCAGCAATATCATCAACGACATACTGAGAAAGATTCTTCAGCTAAACTTCAAACAACGCATAACTTGAATGTAAATGATGGTATAATTACTGAGACTGGGAGTATCGAAAGAGCGGGTAGGGAACGAAAAGGCGAGGATTGGGATAACTTAAATGAACAGGCTGAGCTAAAGTTTGAATTAAACAATTCACAGAAAAGAAATGGGTCGAAAATGGGCGTAAGCACATCTCAAATCTATGGATTATTGACTTCCACGCCCTTCGAAGCGGACGCCACGCAGCTGGAAATAGATCCATTAATGCGTGTTAATAGTTTTAGAAACTCGGCTAGTTCATTTGAAAAGCAAAATGATCTCGAACTTACGCGAGATTACTGCTCAATCAAGACAGTAACACTTCCAACCTCTAAAACTCAGCCAACTGTTTTTTTATCCACCACTGCTTCACCACCGATGGCAAGTAATTCTTACGTAAACGCCAGCAGCATTTCCTCAACTAACCGTGCACATTCTAAAGCATCTGAATTGGTCTGTCTGCAGCAGTTGTCTACAATTTCTGGAGCAAATCAAGAGTTATTAAATACCAGAGATATGTCATCCCTTATAGGACATACAATTCAATCTTCGTGTTCATCTGGACTTTCCCCAGCTAGTCTTGTTTATGTAACCCTTCCTAAAATGGCAGGTTCAATATGCCCTGGAATCTATGCTGCCTACCCTGAGGGCCTTTCTACGGCGCTCTCTTCTTCAACTCTTCCTGCAACAACCCCGTTTTCAACACCTCCTCCTTTGAGCACTGGGGCCTCTTGTTCTAAAACATCGGATCTTGCATCTTTAAGCACTCCCATATCGGCAATAGATTTTGGTTTGCACGGATCTACTCCTATCGCATCGCCCAGTTCTATCTCAGAACAGAAATTGAGTTTGTATTTTGACCCATCAACTGGTGGTAATGTGAGTTATTTACAGGACTCATCTGAGACGGACAAGACTGATCAATCCAATACAAATCCTCTCTTTAATCTTCAGCAACCCCAATGCATCCCTTCTACAATTTTGATGCCTAAAGGCTTGCTCGACCTTCATTTAATACAAGCTATTTCAACACCTGAGGCACAGTCTCCTCAAATGCCCTCTACTACTAGCCTTCAGTCTAAATTTGCTGTGCAGCGCGCTCGTAATATGGATTTAAATGAAAGAGATGCCGGTATAGATGAAGATTCCTCTCTTCTAGTAGCGAATTGTCTGAACAGCGAATCTCAAAATTTTATTGCTGTATCTCAAGTAAGAAATTTACCTTTAATTTGATTTATTTTCGTAAAATAGTATTCCAAGTCAGCATTCCAACTAAGATATTAGTCCTATAATTTAGTTTTATTCTTTTCATCATTACTTTGGCACTTAGTATAATAAACTACGTGGCACTTTAATAACGGCCTTTAATATTGGGAATTAGTTGTGCTTTCTCCGTAAAAATAGCTTCAACTATGGCAGAATGTTATACAAAGTATAGCAAACATTGGAAATTGAGTGACTTTATGTATAAAAGCGTAACTATATTTCACCTTTCTCTAGTCACATAGCCTATAAGCTAATTGGTTGATTTCAATATGTCGGTTAACGGATTTCGGTAAAAAGACCTCTTTTAGGACTTTACATTATATTTGACCAATAATCAAGGTGGGTAAACTATCTAGAAGATGGCGCTTGAGTATCCCAAATTACGATTTTCTTTCACATAGAAACATTAAAAGCTATGATAACTAGAAAGTTTCAAGTATATATCAACAGACTATCTTGAATAATAATTGGTGTAACGACTGATCGTCCAAAGTAATGTAAAGCTGATAGTTATATTTATCAGAATAAAGTGAGAATTCCTTATGATACAATGTAATTCCACGTAGCCGTTTTGCGTAAAAAGGTGTTATCCACTGAATTGGACGTCATTTTCGACTTCACATAGAAATTTTCTGCTTCGTTGAAACAACTGAAAAACCGGTATATTCGAAATCTGGTGGTACTTATTATTTGCGTTTTATATACAATTAATGGAATTGCTGCGTAAAGGAAGATAAAGTTCGAAAATAAAATTTTTATTCAAGATATGGCTTCCCTGAAAATCCACGTCTGGCTGGTGAATCATTGGCATAATATTCAATCTGGCGGAGTGGTAATATGTTGTCACTTATCATCCATGACCAAATTTAGAATCATGCCGTGGGCTGACAGGACGTAAGCGAATATAAAAATCCATTCCAGCCTGGATTATAAAACCTTTCTGGAGTATAGGATAAGCTAATTTCATTAGCTTCGTCATAACTACTTTGTTGGATGTAGAAAATCCAACTACCAGCCCTCCCTTACCATAACTTACATGGTGATACCCAAGTTCTTCTTAAGAATATAACAAACGCTTTTCTGAGGAATAAAGATTATCCCTTATTCTTATCAGTTTTTTATCTATACTGCAAATTATTAGTGAGTCGTTTTCAAGAAGTATTATATAATTATAGATGCTTTATGCGACAGCCCTCTATATCATGATTAGCTTGTCCTTCACCCTTTTAAATTATTCCTTCTCTTACTACTGGTGAATAGTCTTGAAATACTTTTAATCATAGACGTTAAGGTATCGCGAATTTAAATTAATAATTTATCTTTATCATTTCATTTATAAAAATAAACAGCCATAGATATACTTATCTACTTTAAACGTTATTTTTAAGGTCTTTCTTTGTTTGTTTTGGATATGAATCCTTAGAATTTTTCTCGGACTAGGATACTCAATTACCAGGATATAAAAGTAGTCTAAATTCAAGAAGTTATTAGACTCAGAAGGCTTCCTGGTGTTCGCTTAAGTACATTTGGTGATTAAATAGTCAGAAATGGATCAGACGTTAATGCTGACCGATAGATACTATGGGAAAGAAATGAGTGTAACTCTTCCAGAAAAGGTGGCGAGAAGTGTTAGAATAGTTGACACCATGAACAACTATTTGAGATCTGTATCTAAAATATTTCGCAAAGTTTCGTTTGAAGAGACAGTGAGTGAGAACCGTCTGGTTTAAAAGCATTTAAGTGAAAAGAAGGGTAATTTCTAAATAAAAGCCAGATTCCGTTATGATACTTACAGAAGGTTCAAATCCAAGGATATTTTGATTTGCAGCATTATTTTTACCTTTAACCTCTTTAAGGCTTTACTATTGCATAGAAGCAGATTTTATCATAATCTGTACCATCAAATAATATTTCAAAATTAAACTGCCTTTACTTATCAGCATATATCTAATTATGAGAGCCCTCGCTGTATAGTATAATATTTAAACCCTTTTGAGCTTGGTATTAGGGACGAATGAACACGAAATGCAACTTATAACATATTATATCACGTGACAAAACAACTTTTATTCGGTATTCCCGACAGATTCTTTTTTCCAAAAAGGTTACAAAGGATAGCTAATATTGTTCATATTTAATCCTAGGTTCCATTCGTAAGCTTAAGCAGCATGGACTATTATCAACTACAAAAGTGCTGTTTTGCACGAAATAAGGGATAAAGATTTTGATTTGTAATCAATAATATTACTTCTCGAATGGTTTCTATTTAAGTTATGATGGCTATTTGTATCACTTTCATAATGATTCGAGCATATTTGCCTTAAAATAATTTCTTGTTAAAAATTTTATTTACAAGTGAAATAAATTTATAGCTTTTTATATTCTAGCAAATAATAAACCCCTTTTTGAAAAGGTGGATTCAATATTACTTGTTCTGACTGATGTACAATATAGCATAATAATTTTGAAAGTTAATTGCCATATTATACTTCTTAGGTAAAACTATTAAAATGATGCTGCAATTTAGCAATAAGCTCATTTAGCTTTCCCACAATGATTAAAGAAACTCCATGCATTAAAAAAAATTAAAGAATGCAGAATAAGAGGCTTTATATTCATTTTATAACCTATTTATCCATTAATATGATACACTATACACATAGTTTAAACTTGATATCCTGAATGCAACATATGCTCTCTCTTGTCTAAGCTTCTTTTGTTTTCTTAAATAACCTATTACTGATTTATGTAATAAAAGTAGAATATCTGAGATTATATGACTAGCAAATAAATGAATTTGATTTGTATACAAATATAAATTGTGAAAAACAAGATAAATAGCCAATATATAATATCATAAAAATCTTTATATCTTTTGGAGATGGCGATTGATTATTTTATTCAGTAAACCATCCACTACATAGTCCGCAAAAAGCTACTCCGATTCAATCAATGTAACCTTTGAAAGGGCGCTCATTTTACAGTGACTCACAGAATATACCTTGATTTCATACACGCTTTCATTTCACTTTATTTTATTTTATAATGTTAACTCATAAATACTAATATACAAGCGTTATCTATTATTACACGGTTTATCAAAAGATGAAATATTCTTTGGAAATAATTTTTCTATCCGAAGAGCTAAATTAACATTTGGTTTATTATCTAACCTATTTTTGATTTTGGAAATTATACTACAAAAAATTAACAAGCCAAGGTACTAAAAATCATATTAGTCTGACAAAATGAATCAAATAATAATTTATATAAATATATGTCACAGTTGAAGTATTCTCAAATTAATTATGTCCAAAATATAATATTCACAACCTTTCTTGTTTTGATACATACTAACCCACCCTCCATCTTAGAAATATATCTGTTCTTTGGTAATCTAGAAAAGCGATACTTACTATATTTTATAAGTTTTTTTTTAGAGTAAATTTAAAAACCTGATGTAACCTATATTGATGCTAGATGCCGCTTGTTGAAATAAAAATATGTAATTAATGTAACCCCAGGTGGATAACAATCTAATTTTGGAACTATGCCTAAGTTAGGAGACAAAAATGCATAAAATAGAAACAAATTCTAATTAAATTATGCTTACGGCTTGATCCTTGCAAGAAGTGGAGAAGCACATAGTCTTTTAATTATGCTTTTGGCTCGTTAATTCGTCAGTTAATTTGGTTTAAAACTTTAAATTTTTGAAAGTTTTTTTTAAGTTTGCATAGAATTATTCTTATTTATTCAATAGACACGTATTACAAAATATCCAGCTTTACTATTAGCTTAAATTGCAACAATTTTATCTACTGCTTTAAGACATGAAAAAGGTTGTTAAGAATTAACTTTGCTTACGATTACTAGTATCAGATAACTGGTGTAAACGATATGATATATTTTGCGATGTGTTGAAGTATCCTTGCAGTTTATCTTATCTTTATTTAAATTCAGCTGGATTTTCTCTGCTCTTTTTATCCTACTATCTAACTAATATATTATTTAAGACCTTAGAAAAATTAATTTACTGTAGCACAATGACATGGTGCTAAAATTGGTATTTGTCCCATATACCTATTTCCACACTGATACTTTATGCATGAATATCAAAATATATTATAAATGTTTACTAGCGTTTTGTCTTATACTTTTAATGCATAAGACACAAAAATTGTAAAATTTAGCTCAATTATACCTTATGAATCCAACTTTTAAGACTCTAATATAAAAGCTGTTCTAAATTAACTTCACAAAGCAAGCTTGTTTGTTTTAGACCTATTCTATTAGTTCATAAATGTGTCATTTTAATTTTAATTTAAGTTGTAGAATTAAAAATATGATATTAAGCAATAAATTTTGATGCTAGAATAATTGATTTAATCAGTTAATCTAAGAATGAAAAAATATGGAAATTATCTAAATAAAATTAAAATAAAAACTTTTATTAGATTTTTTAAGTTAAGCTGAGTAACACAATCTAATTAATTAGTGATTTATTTACCTAACCCAAAAATTAAGGATGCGATTTCATAGAATATCTTTTGCAGAACATCTTCACTTTTATGATTCATTCTTTCAAAGATGAGTAATTATTTATTTTTATCTCGTAATCACTGAAATTTAACATTAAATAAATATTTTATGATCCTAATTTTAATGGAATATCAAATATTAAAGTATATTTCATGAAATGATATCGCTTTGATATTAATGAATTTGCTTTCATTTAAGTTTGAAAGCTGTTATAGGTATTATATTTAGCAGTCATTTAAGCAATAATGCTATATGCTCTAAAGAATAAAGCTTGTTTACAATTAAGGAATATATAGACTCTGATATTTACAGGATTAATTAAGGAAAAATGGATACCCTCTCATTCAATTTCTTATTATAAGTAATTTATAATGGAATTTATCCTCATGGAAATACTTTAGCTAACTGCTAAGTAAAAAGTGTGAGAG